CAGCCAGCCTTGGAGGGGAAATTGCCAGCTGAGGAATTCTGGGAGTTGAAGTCCATGCATCTTCACATGGCCAAGTTTGAGCAATACAGTTTTAACTTCCTTTTTGTCTTTCCCTGGTTCTGTCAGATTTCAGCACCCATTCCCCCCTTTACGTATAGGTCATCCAAGAAATTACTGCCCGCGTGGGTAGTACCTACGTCCATCAGCTGGTTTACTCAGAGAGAACCGAAAGTTCATTAGCATGGTTGCATCCAGTTTTACAAACTGCACAGTGACCGCTCTGTTTCCTATCTGAATTTCTCACCTAAAACTATACCAGGAAACTTGAGGGGGGAAACAAAAGGAAGGGAAGGAATAGAGGAGGGAGGGAGAAGAAAAAAAGAAAAGAAAGAAGAAAAGAAAAAGAAAGAAAGAAAGAAAGAGAAAGAAAGAAAGGGGAGGGAAGGAAACAGAAGTAGGGAGGAAGAAGAAGGAAGGAAGGGAGGGAGGGAAAGGAGAGGGGGAAAAGAAGGAGAAAGAAANTGGGAGAGGGCTGGGTGATAACTTCCTACACCCTTTAATCTACTAATGTAACTCTTTTTCCTTTTCTTCCTATTTTAACCATTTTCTCTTTGGCTCTCAAGAATTCCACTTCTAATCATTTTTCTTCTTCTCCCCCTTTCTCCTAACTTCTTTTTCTTTTCCTATTTTTATGGTTTTTGTATCTTTTCTTCAAGGTATTTAATTTTATTTTTCTGATATTTTCCCCCAGGGTTTTCCCTATCCTTTCTTCTTCACTGTTTGGTGATTTATTTTGGGAGGGGACTTCCCCCTTGTTTGCATTTCCTTTGTGACTGTAAATCCCAGTGAAATCATCTATCTGCTTTTTGTTTTCAATTCTTCTTTCTTCCATATTGTCTTCCTGTTCGTCATTTGTGCCCTGTTTTACCCCCTCTTCCAGGATGACCATTTCTGAGCAATAGCTGCAAGGGTGTTTTTAAATAGAGGACTTCACACAACATATTAAAACTAAAACCTGGGTCTCATACAGTCAACTAAACAATATTATGGCTTAAATGCTGGCCTTTCTCATACATGCTAAAAGAAAAGTTTTAAGTTCTTGCAGTGTTCAAAACAACAAACAAATCAAATTCCACTTTAGCTTAGTGTAGAATGTTGCAGGAAGCCATCCAATATGTTGTTTCTCTGTTTCCTAAATTTTGGAAATGGAAATTTTGGAAATTTTGGAAAAGGAAGGAAGGAAGGAAGGAAGATAGCAAAAAGAGAAATAAAATAAGTAAAGGGTGGCCTTGTCAATTTTGGTGCTCATTTTTACTCACAATCCATGGGTACTGGACAGGAAAAGATTGTCCACCCTGTTATAGCAGGCAGATGAAAAAGGAAATGCTTGGTGTAATTTTTGTGTTAAGAATCTCATTCCAAAAAGTGTTCTTTTTCCCAATATGGGGAAGTAGGCAAGAGACATTGTCGCATGCAATAGGTATCTTAAGCTTTTCCTGTGTTTTAAGATTTTTTTTTTCTCCTTACCTGCCTGCAAATTTTTTAAAAGAGGTAATATTTTTGGTTCCCCTCTACTCTGGGTGACTCTGAAAGCCACAACTATAGGAATGCTGGCACATTGAACATGATTCAAGGCTGCACTTCATTATCCCTGCTTATAGAATAGATTTTTGGAATGAAAGGCTTCCTAGGCAGAAATACGAAAATTAAACCTCATGACTTAAAATGAAAACAACATTCAAGAGATCCAACTCAGTTTACTGGCACTACATCTCTTTTGGCCCAGAGCTATTAAATGAATCAAATGCTACTGTGGTTATTTATAGGTTATTTTAAAAATAACCAGAATACATGTTCTGTGAATTTGGGCAATATGTACACACTAATCCAAACTGTGTACAGTACAAACCTTTCTCTTGCCTCGTGAAGTCAATTTGTTGATCTTTATTTTACTTTTCAGTATCTGGAGCCAATGGCATGACTAGTATTGAAAATACTTCTTAATCCTGTCAGTTTTGGTAGATACCTATAGCTTTACTTCTGTAAATGAACATGGAGATACGTTTTTGACAGTATCTACTGATGTGAAACGTACCTTTTTGCCAGAAGTAAAAAGAGGATACTTGACTGCCAACTTTTTCTTCAAAAACCAAAGGGGAAAAAAAAGAAAAAAATATTTTTATCCTAATTCCATTCCTTTTCTAACTACAACATACCAGATGGTAAATTTTGTACAAATCATGGGAAAGATCCAGGATCAGTTTCCGGAGAATCAAAATGTTTTCTTCTATTGGCAGAAGGATCCAAGATTTAACAGCAGTTTGCTCTGAGAGTAGGTCATACATTGCAGTGAGTCCTAATTTAGTGCTTCTCTATTCAAGGGAATATCCCAGCCTTCCAGAGCATAAAGGAGATGGGGGAAATGACAAATATTGCCTTCCTTATTCCTCCACTCAGAAGAACTCTGGATGCAATTCAGTCATTTGACTCAGTATTTTTTTCCATGTGGGTTTCCAAGAATATTGTGTTTTTATAGCCTCTTATGAGCTTTTCATATGTAACAATTTTAATTTACATAAGGATGCAAGGTAAAGAGTTAAATTCCACCAGATTAACCAATGAACAATGTGCTGCATTTTTTTAACACCCCAGGAGTTGGGAAATTATTTGCTATCGCAGATTTTTTTTAAGTTCTTCCCATAGAATCACTTGTATGTTCTTGTTAAGAAAACAGCAACAGCAGTGTGTCTTGTGTTGTGAGGAATACATCTTCATTCCTTGTGAACAGGGGTGGGTTGCTACTGGCATTATCGCGGTTCGGTATGCATGCACATTTATACCTAAAAAAGTCTGCACATGCACAGAACATTAGAAAAGGAGGGGGGAATTACATTTCTGCAATGGACATTGTTCTGCCCATGCGCAGAACCAAAAATCACGATGACACAGCTGACAATAGAACTGGTTCGGGTCCGTGGGCGGCTGAGTTACTCTCTACTCTGCCAAACTGGTTCGAACCTCTGGTTGTGAATTCTAGAATCCTAACAACGCCAAGACTGAAAAAGCAGGAAGCAGCACCTGCTTAATCACGTGTAACTTTAAAACCTAAGTAGGATTGGGTCAAGTTGGTAATTGGATGGGAGATCACAGAGAATAACCCAGTTGCAGACTCGACTGGAAAACTGGAAAAAAAACAAAAACAACCTGAAACAAAACAATAGCAAACTATTCCTTCATTTTCCATGGATGTGTTCATGAAGTTATCTCCAGTTGATTTTGAAGGTCGTTCAAGTCTGCTTTTTGTTAAATGTAAGTCAAATATATGTTAGCAGCAATTATATTTATTTTGGGGTGGCTTTTTTTAAAAAAAGAGCATGATTTTTGAGATTTTACCCTTTAAAGGAAAAGATGGTAGGATGAAAATCCTTAAATTATATTAGCTATCTCCCCTCCTGCTCCCTTCCCCAAGTAAAAATGGGTATCCAATTATATTTTATTCTTTGAAGGTAATTTCCTGGATGTTTATTGGATGAAAGAAACCATAATAGCGAGCAGAAAAATAACTCCAAGGAAAATTGCCAGGATTTCCTTGTTGTTTTGGAAGGAAGATTTCAATTTAAATGGAATTTATAGTTCTGAAGACTGTATTTCTCCCTCCCTCCCTTTCTCACACAAAAATGTAGTTACTGTAATACATTTAGATATAAGTTACCCGAATATGAATGCATTAAAAATATCACTAGTTATTACTGAATGTGTTAGATATTTCATTCATCTATTAAAGGAATATGTGATATAAAATATAGTTCTGTATATGTGCAGTAGTTTGTCCCTTACATTGATGAAATGGTTGATCTAAACTATATCTCTTCTTTGAAAGAAATTCTGTAGCTAGCACTAAATTATCTTAACACTTTGCTTAATCCTTAACATTCTCTACATGCAGGTTTGCACTGGTTTAAGTAGCTGCAAGATGTTTAAAAGAAATTAATGTAATTATATGGAAGTGAGTCATCCTCATGCCTTGACTAGCTGTGAACATGTCACTCCAATACCCTGCTTTGTTCCACTTTAAATTATTTACACGATGACACTGCAAAGTATTTACTGAAGGCAACTTTTCCCAGAATAACTAACAAGTATCATTTTCCCTGATGTTTCATAGGTCAGTGTTGGTTATGTGGGAAGTTATCATCCAGCCCTCTCCCAGAAAAATGAAATATCCTAGGAAATATTGAAAAGGCAGAATATTTCTCTGGATGAGAAAAGAAAGAAACATGCTTTAAAAGACAGAATAGTTTCCTGTGGCTTCCTGCCCATCCACACTTTGTCAATAGGCCTTTGAGAAGGCCAGGCTAGCCCACTTTACATAATAAAGATTTCCACACTGCAGCTGCAGGGGGAAGGGATATTACTCAACTCTCCACATGGCATCTGAGAACTCATACCTGTATTCAAAACAGCCTAGAGAGTAGTCCCCTGCATGGCCCCATGGGAGTCTGACAACCAATCAGAATACATTTCTTACACAGGAACAGGAAACAGAGAGGCGGGACTAAACAGGGTATAAAAAGCCTAGCAAGCCCCTCCCTCAGCCCTTCTCTTCTTCTCCACCTCCATTGAAGCATGTGATCACCTTTTCTGTTCAGGGCTCAAGCCATGTGGTCCTGTCCAACAATAAACCATCTTTCCAAGCAGCCTCCATGTCTCCAGTGTCTTCTTCCCCACTTGGAGCTGAACACAGAAGGACATTTCTTTCAACAGTTATAAACCACCCTTTCTAAATTTACAAATTTAGTATATCACATGTTGCTCCATGTATTTCTAAATTTACAAATTTAAATGAAATATCAACTTCCAGAATCCTCAGTCACATTGGTTAGAAATAATGTGATTTGCAAGCTCAACATAACTGGAGGGCATCAGGTTAGGAAAACGAAGGGAAATCAGAATTGTTTTCTAATGTAGAAAATAAAAGAATCCTTTTTGTTTTAAGAAACCCCAGTGAAAGGGTCAAGGCTTTGTACCATCAATAACCCAAGAGAAACTCATCCTGTCCAGAACCAAATATATACATTTTCAAAGTAGGCCACGTGTGGCTCCATATATTTTACTACATTAATTCTAGTACGGGGTGATCATTTTGCGGTGCAGTTTCACTCAGAAATAAATTGCCTTCCATTCGGGGAGGGAGGTACAAAGCTACAGAGCTAAGTACGTCTCAACTTGTTGGAACCAAAATCCACTACAGCTAAGCCAGGTAAGATTCAAACCCACCAGCCAGAGAATTAAGCATTTTGTATATATCTTCCTTGAAATTGCCAGCTGGTTTGAGTCCCACCCAGAGGCCACTGCTTAGCTGAGAGCATATATTTTTAAAGAATGATCGCCCCCGTCTAAAATGACTAGAGAATTATCTGATATGAAAGTTAATGCCAAAGGGTAGGAAAGTCCCTGAGTTATCAGTGGTGTACACATAGGGAATTCTTCGGGTTTTCCAAGAGAGAAAACGGCTTGGTTATAAGCATCCGTTACTATTACTTGCCCTTCCCTGCTAAAGGTCACAGCACTGGCGTGGACTTTGGAAGGGAAGACAAGACTCAGGCCAAAACTGTCCACCTGACCGATTAGTTGCAAGTCTCTGTTGAAGATTTTCAGCCTGGTATTGCCGTAGCAGGGCCCTCTGGCCATCAAGTGTTCGATGACAGCGATGGCTCCAGAGACGGGCGAAGCAGCCACTTTCCTCGGATAACACAGGTTAGAATACAACTTCTTCACTCCCTTTAATTCTCCATTTTTAAAGTCAGCCGACAAGCGGTACAGAGCACCTGCCTCCGAATCGGTCATGAGGATGTCGTCTTGGGGCAGGGTGTCAAGGCCCCACGGCAAGGAAAAGGACTCCGCGATGACCATTTTGCCTCTGCCGTCACAATCGAACACTTTGACCGAACGATCCCCGCTATCTGTGACCACAATGTGACCGTCCAGCGTGACTGCGACATCAGTCGGGTACCTGAGGTCATTTCCGGATTGCCCTCTTTCTCCAAACTGCTGTATGCAGCTGCCACTGAAGCTGAACAGCTTGATTCGCTTCTTGCCATCGTGGGCCACGGCTAAACAGCTGGAGCTCTGACACACAGCCAGCCCCGTGGGGTTGATCAGCGTCCCCCAGCCTCCGAAAGAAAGGTGAAAGGTGAAGAGCTGAGATCCAGGGGCAGCCACAGCCTCCTTTCTCCCTACTGTCTTCCCAACAACCGGAGTCCGGTTGGCTGAAGGATTCAAGATTTCCATCAGGTGCAACAACGGCAAGCAGTCGCTAGTCTCTGAAGCTTTGCAAGCCCTTCGACAGAAAGGGCACTCCAGCCTGGAATTCCGAGGGTGGGCCAGAGACATGACACACTCCAGGCACATCACATGCCCGCATGGCAAGTTCTTCGGCCGATGCTTTTTCTCGGGGTTAAAATTTTCGAAGCATACTTTGCATTCGAGCAGATTGTTCTCAGACTGATCCAGCAGCTCTGTCATGATTTCTGTTTGATCAGCGGCTTTGGCAGTCATTAGGAGAAGTCTAAGAGGATTGATTGTCGCGCTGCTGAGGAGTGGGAGGGAGGGAGGGAGGGAGGGAGGGGGAGTGCTGTGCCATCTGGTCACATTGGTGCGGTCACAAGACCCTCTTACTCAGAGGCCTTGACGGATGGCTGCAGTCCACAATGCAAGCTTGTGTTGACATTTGCTGCCCTCTTGAGGACATTCACAAAAGTTCTTGCACGAGGAACATCTGGATGCAAATAATCAATGCATTCAGTTTTTCTTTATTGGTTGTAGTGTGAGAAAAAGGAGCTAGAGCTATACACCAGAATCACTGAAAGAGGAATCCCAACATTTGTACTATCCTCCATGTAAACGCATTTGTTCCAGTGAGTTTGGGAAGCTAGCAAGTCTGATTTGATTCGCAAACAACTCACGTGAGATTAAAACAGACAGAACAGGGAAGGGTGAAAGTTGATTTGGCAGTCTCAGCTGATTAGAACTAACAATATAAGTAATCCTCTTTTAGCGACCACAATCAGGACCTGCAATTCAGTTGTTAAGCAAAGTGGTGGCTATGTGAAACTGCAACTGTGGTTATGATATTACTACAACTTTTCTTTGCTTTATACAGACCTGGAAAGATTGTAAATGTGGGCATTGGTTGCATAACTTCTTTTTCATCATCATTGTACTGTAACTGCAATTTGACACCAAATGAGACAGCCACTAAACAAGGAGTACTTGTATTCATAGTTTTGCTAAAAAAGATTCTTTTCTTAAATGCATTACCTATAAAATANCCGCCAGGTGTGCATTGCAACCTCCCTCAAAGGAGGGACGCAAAGGCAGGCAAGGTCGGTTCGGTCGTCGGTTACCTGGAATGGCCAGCGTGGAAAGCGGCAGGGCGCTGAGGACGGGCGGCAAGGAGCCCATCCAGTCTGCGTGGCTGCGTTGGTTTGCCATTCCCCGCTTTCAGCTCCGGCTTCGGGAACGCTGACGCGCCGAGCGGCTGCTTCTCCCGTCTTCGCCGGCTCGCACTCCTTTAACTGCAGCGCATTGGAGTAAGCGCCGGCAGAGGCTCCTCTTCTGTCATCCTCCGGGAAACTTGCCAAACCGGCAGAGCGACTGCCGCGCCTTCGCCCTGCCTGGGACGCCGCGCCTGCCCGGCTCTTAAAGTCCCCTGCATCCCTACGGCGAAGGCAAAGGAGGCTGATGAGGACACCGACCTCGCTCCGCGGGCGGCGGGAAGAGCTGCCAGGTCGGGGGGGGACTCGCCTCCCCCGCTCCCGCCGCCCGCCGGCTTTCATGAAACGGCCCCTAGTCCTGGCGCGCCTCTCCAAAGCTGGGCGGCGGGATTGATCGACAGCGCCACCAGGCGGCCGTCCAGACGTGGCGTCACTGCTTTCGTGACAACCGTGGCGGACGGCGATTTGGCCTGACGTGACTGTTGAGCCGGCTGAGCTCTTAGCGCGTCGCCTTGTTTCTTCCGGAAAGTCTCAATTTTGGTTTAGTGCGGTTTTGAAAGCGGTGAATCGTCCAAAAAAGGATAACACAGCCGTTATTGTCAATTAATTATAGTTGCCTGACCGAAATATGATTGATTGGTTCATCGGACTATAATTTTCTAAAAACAATCACCCCTTAAAAAAAATCAAAATCGCCAAATCAGTCTATGGAGCCAAGTCCACTTTGAACTTCTTTGATCTCATCCCACCGAAGCAGTTTGAAGTTGGCCCGCGATCCTACTCTCTTTTAGCCTTAAAATCCTGGAGCTGCAGGGAATGCGAGAAAGCAGTCTGCCCAGCTGACCTGAGGGGAGTTCAAATAAGCTGCAGAATTGACTTCTGAGGACTTCTTCCTAACCTTCTCCAACAATCTAGGTCAGTGTTTCTCAACCTTGGCAACTTGAAGATGTCTGGACTTCAACTCCCAGAATTCCCCAGCCAGCATTCGCTGGCTGGGGAATTCTGGGAGTTGAAGTCCAGACATCTTCAAGTTGCCAAGGTTGAGAAACACTGATCTAGGTCATTCTTGGGGAAGGAAGACAGAAGGAACTTGGAATAGAAAAAGGGATGCTCTGGAGAGATGTTTTTCTGGAATGTGTTTTTTTTCCCCCTCCACAGCCCCAACCAGATTGGATCTTTTTTTCAAACTCAAACTTTCTTTTGCTACGTGTAGTTTCTCTTGCCCTACTAAACGTAGTCCCATTCAATTCAGTTTTCCTGATAATGCACAGAGTCCACAACTCCTTTGTCTCCTCCCCTCCCTCCCTCCCTCCAACATCTGGCTAGGGGGAAAAAAGCATTTAGTCAAGCTCCTGGAACTAGGAAACATTGTATGGCCAACAAGCAGCACAAAACAGAAATAAAATGAATTATTGCATTCCACCCTGGGGTTGGCGTTCATTTTGCACACTTTTAAGACCATCAACTAAATATCTGAGTGATTGCTAAACTGTTGAGCTTTGCTGTTGTCAGGTGATCTATCTTCTGCAGCCCAGAAGAACTATAACCTAGAAAGGAGAACAGCCCAGCAATCAGGTCCTTTCTTCAGTGCAGTTCAAATTATAGATCTGTGTACTGGGGGTTCAGCCACCCCCAGAACACAGATCTATAATTTGAACTATACTGAAGAAAGGACATACAGTACATCAGTGATTTTCAAAGTTGGCAACTTTAAGATGGATGTACTTCGATTCCCAGAATTCCCCAGCCATTCCCCATACTGGGAAATTTTGTTAGTTGAGTCCACCCATCTTATAGTTGCCATTTTGAAAAACACCACGTTAAATTTTAAACAAGATGGTTGATGTTGGGGGAGATTGTCTTCAATCTATTCTCTGAGAAGCAAGGGGATGAGCCAGGATTTCCTGCTAGTTGTAGAGAGGGGAAATACCCACCCACAGAGCTGTAATGTTAAAAAGAAAGAAATCACTTTCATCCTCTTTAAATAAACTATAGTGGAATCAGAAAAAAAAATTAAGGGTTTCAAATCAGTTGGCATTATACAAGCAACCAAATCTAGAGCTACTTCCAGAGCAAAACAAACTTTTTCTATGGAGATACTCTTAATTATAGTTTTTTAAAAAATAATGTATACATTCTTTACCAGTGAAGAAGGAAAACATCTAGAAACTGCAATCCAAATATTCATTTTATATGTGTGTGTGTGTGTGTGTGTGTGTGTGTGTGTGTGTGTGTGTGTGTGTAATATTTAATGAAACTACATTATTAAAAAGTTCCTTGGAATCCTAGAGTGTTGCTTTAAGTGTTCCTATTCTGGCAACATCTTGGACTCATAGAGAATAATTTCCGTTAAAAAAAAAGCAAGAATGTCCATAATACATCTAAAATTATAATTTGCTAGCTATTGAACAATCTATGTATTTTAATGAGGTAACCATGAGTGTGTATGTGTATTTTCTGCTGTGAACACTACTTAGCATGTGTTCCATGTTGCTTAGAACAATAAGGGTGTGTCTGTGTGTTTTTGCATGGAAGTATTTATGTTTTAAGTGAAAAGAACAAGTCTGCCAGTCCTTGATTGGAAAGTACCTAAAATAAAAAGTGAATAATACAATGACATACCTTGTTGCCTAGGTGTTTGCCATTGTTCAATCTCCAGTTGCCTGTCACTTTCCAATAGGTGGGATGAAAAAAAGAGTTAAATAAATTGAAGAACCTGAATTTTCATCCCTAAGGTCCAGCTCCAGGCTGCCACTGATTCTACAAGGAGTACCATATATACCATATATACTTGAGTATAAGTTAAGAATTTTTGCCTGCACATATGTCACCACAATTGAGTTCTTCTTATGTGCAGACCAGAGTTCAGGTTTTTTTTAATTACAAGATTTAAATGGTAAAATGAAAGTTTGCAGTTTCCCACCTTTCACTGCACACATTTCAGGTAAGTAAGAAATCACCATGTCTGGAAATTGCCAACAGTAACCATATGATATAGCTTTCAAGCCAAGTGTTATTAGTAGAGCAGAGGAGACAAACAATTCTGTGACTGCCAAAGAAGTGTTGTCACTCAGAAGGAGTGGAATTCTCTATTGACCCACATGACAGGATAATAATCAGTGAAAGATGTTCAAGATACACTGTACATGAGGAGAAATTTCCTGACAGTACAAGCTGGCAACCAGTGGAACAGGCTGCCACATGAAATGGCTAAAATAGCCTGCATAAGAGTTTTCGTGCAGAAGCTGGATGGTCGTCCGATAGAGATGCCACTGTGGCTTCTGCACAGAGCAAGCTCCAATTCTATGATGCTGTAATATTTCCTTAAAAGCAATTAAAGTTAACTGCAATCAATAAGTTCGCCAAGTTTAATCAGACTTTAGTCACAGCTAAGGTTAGCCAAATTGGAGACTGTATTCTAGCTTTCTTTTGATCAAAAAAAAAAAAAGAAGTAAAAAAAGGAGGAAGGGAAAGACATAGATTTGTGGGAGGTAAGTAGAATATCTTTGAAGATTTAAAAATGGTCAAGATTGAAGTTCTGAAGATGAAGATGTGACCAGGAACCAAACCTCTTGCTTAAATTCATTCTGATGTTAGCCCTAAAATATATGAATTCAACCATTGTGGCTTTAATCATTTCTTAATGGTTTAGCACGTTGTGTGAACCTACCAATTATATTTCATTCAGCAAACCATGAACCACGACTTAGTATTATGTATAATCCCACTCACTGTCTTGCCACTGGGATGAAGCCACATTATATTTATATATAATGTATTCAGAAAATTCCACATTCTGAAATATGCAGAGAATTCTTTGGTGGCTTTATTTGATACTCATAACCTTTTTCATTGTAGGATGTACCACATAGTTTCATAACCACTTCAAAAAAATCCTCTTGCACTTGCAACCTGATAATAGAGTTTACTAATAGACAGACACAATGCTTTGGAAAAGAGCCCACTGTCTGTAGAACTAGGGTACATGTACTTCATCAAACATTTGACAGATTTAAGTTTCATTCATTCTTGAATGACAACTATGTCTACTGTATGAAGCTGGATAGTTTTGAAGTGACTAGCAGTGATTCTGATTAAGTTTAATTCATATGACCAATTTTTATTCCATCTATTGAAATCAACTTAAAATGGGCAAGGATATTTGTGTTATGAGTTGTATAGTTGCTATTTGTATGAAACACTGTACTGTGTGGAATGGTGGCTGATGACAGCTACACATTTAGATTGAGCAGGCCAAGTGTAGAAAATCAGCCATTTGCACCCAATTTTGGTGACGAATGTACAAGAAAAAATAATAAAAAAATTGGTTATGAGTTTACCTTTCATATATGTTATCTTCCCCTCCCTTCCCTCTTTCCTTTCTTTTTCCTTTTTTTCCTTTCCTTTCTGTTTTTAACTTTCTCTCTCTTTCCTTCTCTCTCTTTCCAATCAATTGCAAGAATCTTGTAATTTATGACTCAATATATTTTTCAATAGAATTCCCCAAATATTTTTTATTATTCAAGAAGTTAGTTCTGTTCCATCTTGTTTGGCATAATGAATTGTGAAACGTTTTCTCTCTATGCAGTTCTGTACATTATATATTATATTATATAGCATATAATTTGTTCGAAGCCTAGTCACAAATTTCTATAGGATTTAAGATTTTCACAGAATTGCAACTTTCTCTACAAAGTTAATTATCTCTATCCTTTCCACAGAAAAATTCAAGGGAGGCAATTATAATAGAAATAGCACTTAGACTTATATATGGCTTCATAGTGCTTCATAGTGCTTTACAGCCCTCTCTAAGTGATTTATAGAGTCAGCATATTGCTTCCAATAATCTGGGTCCTCATTTTACTAACCTAGGAAGGATGAAAAGCTGAATAAACCTTAATCTGGTGAGGATCAAACTTCTGGCAGTGAGGTAAATCAACATGCAATACTGCATTGTAACTACTGTGCCACTCAGTGGTAGGTTTCAAAAATTGTTGGAACCTACTCTGTGGGTGTGGCCTCCTTTGTGGGAGTGGCTTACCACCCATGTGACCGAATGGGAGTGGCTTGCTGCCCATGTGACCGGATATGAAATTATGAATTAGTACTTAGGTCGGTCCAAGTAGCTATTCAGAAACTCTGGCATTGAAGCATGCAAGTCTTAAAGCTGTCAAGTTACAANCTACCCCGTAAAGTTGACAGAGAAGAATCTTCTATTAGCTTTACCATGAGATATATCATTTTTCATTTAAGGCTCCAGAATTTTTAAAAAGGTTACTTCATAGTGATGGACAGATTCAATGTTAATTCACAGTAATGGACAGATTCAAGGTAATTTCTATTCAGTTAAACATCCACCTGAAAAGGAGTTCAGCTGTACTAGAAAGACAAGAACTCACAGGTATTATAGAATGGAAGAAATGTTACAGAGAGAGTCTGTGCTAAGACACAAGTAAGATAACCCAGGGAGTTCTAGAGTCTTGGAACCTACTATCTGCTTCACTTTCAGAGTTCCTTTTTCAAACACATCCTACAACTTCCAAAGATGCTTTCCCAAAGGCCATCTAATAGTAGTTTGAAGTATAAAAATGTAGATTCAGATCCAATTAAATAGGAAAAAAAAATCCTGTACCTGCTGTTGCTTTTCCCAAAGACTCTGCAGAGTTACATTTTCTACACATTCTTTTGTGCAGAGTTTTGATCCAAATATTTCTTCAATCTTGCTGATAAGATACATATGATGATTCACATCCATGGCATAGAAATGATTGAAATCCAGGAAAATGACTTCTTTAGGATGATGGGTTAAGAAGTTGTTTATCTCCATAAGTCCATCACATACTGTGCTTCCAAACAAGCCATGTATAAAGTAGATTTCCTGTCCTGCTTCACCTGGTTTGGAAGATACACGGAGGTCAAAATAGCGTATTCCACTGTCAAGCTGCTCCTTGAATGTCAGATTTTGTGTTACTGACCATTTCTTCATTAGCTTTTTTACCAAAGGAATTTTAGCTATCCGCCGAATTGCTATGGCTTGATCTGGTCCCACGGGAGCTTTCTCATCCACCCAGTAACTGAAAGAGTCATGTGAACCTATATGGGGAAAAAAGAATCTCAATATAGATTCTGCTTTACCAACCTATTAAAAAAAGAGATTGTTAATATCTCTACAGGCATCTGAATGGGGGCAATGTTACATCAATACCATTTACCAGGATTTTCAAAAGGCATTTGACAACATTCCTCCTCAAAAAATTCTTAAGATAAAAGAATCAGTTATAAGAGTTCTTTGATGGGCTACTAACAGCTAAAATGAGAAAGCAAGGAAAAGGAATAAATGGGCAATTTTCTCAAGGGAAAGAAGCAAGAACTGAATACTGTCAAGAAATTGTGTTGATGTACATGTTCTCTAAACAGGTACATAAAATTAAACAAACAAATTTCTAACCTATAGAAGCAGTTTACTGATATCTTTTGAACAACAAAAATTAACAGATTTAAGAAGCCTTAAAATATTTATTTCAGTAAAGTGTGTAGTGGAAGAAGGTTTTTTTTTTATAGCATGATCCATATTCAAAAATGGGCTGCTTCAAACATTTTGTGTGGAGGGTATTTTGAGCAAAAAGTTTGAGTATTTAAAACTTTCAACACTTCTCTGACCTCTGAACACTATCAGGATGACTGAAAGTGCCTGTTTGGAATGTGACAGGAATGTTTCATAATTCAAAAAAAAAAAAGTTGTGAAGATGAAATGGCACTGCACACACAAAATAATTCTAATATGAAATATACTGTATGCAACTAGGTAGGGCCAGTGGCGTACCCTTGTGTAGAAATCATCTAACTGCCCTTTAGTATTTAAAATATTGTTTCTCTTTCTCAGGCAGTCTCTTTCTATATGACTGTGCCATGCAGTTTGTGAGGTTTTTTTTAAAGTTGCTAGTGGTGTCCTGCTTCATGTGGCAATCTTACGCAGTGCACAATTTACACACCAGGTGGCCTTTCCATGGGTGCATAACTCAACTCTATCCTAGCTATGACAAAAATAACATTTAAAAACCCTGCTTAAGAAAAGTACACATTTCCTTGGAAATTGAAATTCACGGGACCTCTAATATATTTTACAAGTATCAAAGTATAATATTTCACAATTAATCCATCAATCAAATGAAAAATACTCACAAAATGGTAATACTAAAATAAATATAACATCACCTTTCACTTTTCCTTACCTTCAGTTTGTTATTGACATGCTGTAATTTGGGGTACTGGAGAAGCCAATTGTCACAATATTTCAACTTTTTCATTCTAAAAACATTGCTCAAAAATATATCTATGATACAAATAATACGTAGTTGTCAAATAGCAAGCCATTAATGGTTGATAGATATCTTCCACGTGTACCGTGATTCATTCTTAACATTCATAGAAATTAATATGCAGCTTAGTCACATTCAATTATATAAGAACATTATGTGCTAACATATTCTCATATTACATCATAGGTGACGTAAATTATAGCACATGAAGTAAATTATAATGTACTCAAAACAGAAATAAATCTTCCTGATGTAATATTAAGAGTTCATAATGTGCAGTATTTCTTAAACACACATAGAATTACACACTATGAACTCTTAATATTACATCAGGAAGTTTATTTCTGTTTTGAGTACATTAGAATTACACACATACACACACACACACACACACACACACACTACCTTTACTAGAAAAAAAATAAAAATAGATAAAAATAGTGGATAGTATCAGCCTTCCTTTAGAACAGGAAGAACAGCCAATAAGAAGTTTTGTTCCTAAATAAAGGAATAAAACAGTACATAGAGAATTTGGAGTAGAAAGAAATGTATTGTACTTATAGTCTATGCATGCTTTTTATTGTTTATTTATTAATAAATTAGATTTTTTAAAAGAGGTACTGCTTATTAGAAATATTATTTACCAGCACTGGACATATTCATACCATTGGCTTATTTTGAATCTTTTAGATTATAAAAAAAAATAAATGTTTTTTGATATTTGAGATATTGTAGATAGACAAATCATTGTTTTTAAAAACCAAGTGCTGGGATTTGCCAATAACTTTTAAAACAGATTCTAGTGTCCTATCAATTTAATCCCTTTGATGGCTTGAACATTGAGAATGTAGATGCTATGATATCTTGTCCTATTAAAACGCATTACAGTTGGTGTCAAGTACTTAAATACTCTTCTTGCTCTTATGGTAATTATTAAATTTAAGTAGATGCTTATAGGAATGAAATAGAAGGATACATTCTAATTGGCTTATTCTATATTCAATCTTAATGCTCATTTCATCTGCTACATCCATGTTCAGCTTTCCCTAACAATAGTCTGAATGACTTTACAGCTACATGAAGTAGACTGATAAACTCTTTGCAATCTGTGATAAAGATAAATATTCTTTCTTGGAATTCTGCAAGAAAAAGTAAAAGAAAAAGTAAAAGAAAATTCTGCAGAAAAAGTAGTTTTACATTTCATTTCAAATGCGAAGGCTTTGGGAGAAAAAAGTAACGATTTAAATCTGGAAAAAATTATATGTGCATTTTAAATAAAAATTTAAAAGAATTTTTTCTCTCTTTCTTCATTCTCTATAAGGTAGATTCTGTATAGTAACAATGCAAATTACTTTTAACATAATACACTCCCATTCGTTTGTCAATAATATTTAAAATGGGATGTTTGAGCAAACATTTGACAAAGCATTTGTATTGGCTACTGTTATGACTCACTAGCCCATTTCCTCATTTTTGTCTTTAACACCCAAGACGAAAGGGCAGGTTTTGCTAACATTCTCTTTAATTACAAATAAAACACAAATCAAAGATCACCATGTGCAAGCTATGGATTTTCCAGTTGTTTAAGGTGACTAGACTTAAAGAAGAACAAATGATTCATCTAATCTGGTATTCTGAGATTAGTTGGAGTCAACTATGGTTATTGCTAAGTAAAGGTCATTTCTCCTAATGAGCTTACATTTGCAATTGCATGCTTTCAATCTAATATAATATGGGAATGTTGTTTGAGCTCAGCTAATGATCAGCTTTTATGAAAAAGATACAAGTACTGCTGAATACTTTATCATCAGTAAATATGTTTATAGCACTATTAAGCCACATCTATTTATTTTAATA